AAATTTCTTCTTCCTCATCAAGCTCTGCATAATTTGCTTATTTGTTCCCAGAAGGACATTCATACCGAAAATGTCCAAGTTGATGACATCGGTAACACTCCACAGTTGCCTTGTTGAAGTCTTTTCTCCCTCTCCTTCTCTCTCTCCCTCTTCCTCTTCCTCTTTAGGTACCACGACCACGACCTCTTCCTCATTCTGACGTCACTTTCAAAGCCTATTCCTCACCATTACGTCTCTGAAACTTCTATTCATGCACTATTAATGAGCTATGTAACTCATCAACAGTAAGAGCATCAATGTCATTTGACTCCTCAATAGAACATACAACATAGTTGAACTTCTCAATTAAAGAGCTTAGAATTTTCTCCACCACTTTAACATCCGACATATCTTCTCCATAAATTCGCATCTTGTTGGCCACTGTCATGACCCTAGAGAAGTACTCTATCACTCCTTCATTAGACCTCATCTCAAGAGTTTCAAATTCTCTGCGGAGAGCTTGAAGATGAGACCTCTTGACCCTTGCATTTCCTTTGAATTTTTTCTTCATGGCGTCCCATATATCTTTGGCAGTATCCTTCTTTAGAATGGTGTCAAGAACGGTCCATTCGATCGCCTGAAAGAGATAGTTCTTCACTTTCAAGTCCTTCAACTTTATCTCATCATTCTTCTTTTGCTGTGCATCTATCTACACCGATTCACTTGCTGGCTCAATATAGCCAGGCTCCACCAGCCCCCAAAATTCCTTAGATCGTAGAAAATTTTCCTTCAGTATGCTCCAATGGTCATAGTGACCATCAAAGCGAGGAATGACCGGCTGTATAAAACTCCCTTCTGTAGTTATCTTCTGTGCTGCTGCAAGAACTTCAAAGACTGCTGCTTTGATTTGTCAAGCCCAGTGGGGGCTCTGATACCAGATTGTTGGGAACTTTGATCTAAAATGAAACTCAGAACAGGAACACAACAAGCTAGATTGAATGACTTAGTTTTATTGACAATAACTTTGGCTTAAATAGCCATTCAATACACAATCTTAACTGAAACGTAAAAACAGCCCACTTAGTGGAAATAAAGCCAAGTAGTAATAGAAACTTGGAACAATTCAAATATAAGTAGATGTCCCTAAAGACTAGGACTTTCCCAGTAGACCAGGACATTATTCTAACAAAAAAATTGCAGTAGACTCCTTCACTTCTTGTGGCCTTGATCTTGTCGCCGGGAAGATGGCGAGGAATTCATTGGTTTTGGAGAATTCCAAGTTCGTATTGCACCTTTGTTTAATTTTGTAGATTTGAATGATTTGGTTGAATCTGTGGATGAAATTTTGGTTGATTATGGAATGGGTTTATGGAATTATGGGATTGGCCGCCAATTTAACAGTAAAAAGGCGAATCTTGAGATTTTCCCCCCAAAGAAATTGTAGAATGTAGAGCCCAAGTCTACTTGCAAGAGCAAACAACACTACTCAGATCAATCTTGGAATGCTTGATATACCCTTGACTGCTTGAAAATTTGTTCAATAAACCTTTGATTACTTGAAAATCCTTTAATGGCAACTCCAAGAGGTATCACGATCAATTTCACACTGCTTGTTGCTAATGATCCCATTTACTCTCCATATATATGCATTTTTTTAGAGAACAAGGAGATAAATAGGGGTGGGGGTTTGATTACCAATGGGGTTTAGTGAGTGAGTGAGTGGGTGAGTGTTTTATGTTACAATTTTTTTAAATATTAACTGTAGTAAAGAATCTATTCACATTAAGGGCATGATAGTCTTTTTGCTATTTTCATTAGAAAAAGGAAAGAGACATTATTGATAGGGTTGCTCAGTATCATTATTGATCCGTGAAGGAATCTAGTTATTATTTGGACAAACATCGAGGGAGGTGGATCTAATCTACCCACAAAACTACTAGAAAAGATTTCCAAAATAGGGTAAATTGCACAAATAGTCTTTGAGGTTTGCCACTCATCACACTTTAGTACTTAAAGTTTTAATTTCATCCCAAAAGTTCAAACATTGAGTCAATGTGGTCCTTGACACTAATGAGAGTTCAAGGACCACATTGTTTTATATAATTAAGGATATTTTTTTTGAACCCATATAATTAAGGATATAACAAAGGAAAGTTTAAGGCTGCTAATCCAAGCACATTAAAAAGTATTTATTGATTTTGCCTCAAAACAGAGAAAGAATTGTAAGTGTGGATCAAAAAATAATTGTCTTTTTTCATTCTTTTTCTTTGGAAAGCGTTAACTTTCACACCATTACTAAATTTCCTCATCACCACATTATAAGAACGATGAAAATATAGGAGCATATGCATTATTAAACAATTAATTCTCCTTCGAACTCAATCATGGCACCCAAATTCTCTGTTCTCCTGCCATGCATAACTCTTTTCTTCATTCTCTTTCTTTACCAAACCCATGCACATTTATCAGAACCAAATGACAAAACACCCTCAGCCTTTGAGTTTATCAAACACTTGAAGGGTTCTCGCAATGGTGACAAGGTAGATGGGCTCCATAAACTCAGAAATTATCTCGAAAATTTTGGTTATCTAAGCTTATCCTATTCTAAATTGAATCAAACCTATGTCAAAAGTGATGTTTTTGATGATCTCTTAGAGTTTGCCATCAAAACCTACCAGCTCTATTATAATCTCAAAGTTACGGGAGTGTTAGATGATAACACCGTGTCAATGATGACTCTGCCTCGATGTGGCTTACCAGATATCATCAATGGTACTACTGGAATGAGATCGGGCAACAAAATACAACACCATCATGGCTCAAACTTGTTCCAAATAGTCTCTCATTATAGTTTCTTCGCAGGTAGACCTAGATGGCCACGATATAAGATTAAAAAACTCACTTATGCCTTTCTCCCGGGGACTCGTCGGGCCTCCTTTGGCCCGGTTAGTCGGGCTTTTAACAAATGGGCTTCTGTATCAAAATTCAGGTTTGTCCAAATTGGAGGCTACAAAAATGCTGATTTAAGGATTGCTTTTTATAGTGGATACCATGGAGATGCTGACCCGTTTGATGGTCCGGGTGGAATCTTGGCCCATGCTTTTGCACCAACTGATGGGAGGCTTCACTTTGATGCTGATGAGAGGTGGTCTGATGGACCGGTTCTCGGATCATACAACTTAGAGGCTGTGGCTCTACATGAAATTGGTCACCTTTTGGGACTTGGGCATAGCTCAGTTATGGAAGCTATCATGTTTCCATCCATTCAACCGGGTGTGAGCAAAAGCTTGGCTTCAGATGATATTAGAGGGCTCAAGGCTTTATATTCATGAGGATTGAGAATCTGGACAGGAAGCCTTCATCTGTCGGATATGAATCATTTAAGTAGTAATGTGCTCAATGTTGCCTATCATCATGTGTACATTTAGTGAAAAATACTACTGGATAAGAATGCCGGTATATAAAATGGTAAATTATGAATTATGGTTTGATTTATTAATGCTTTATATATTTTTACTTTAAAACCTACACATAACACTAAATTGGTTGGGAATATAGTATTAAAGGTAATAGAATCATGAACTATCAATAATTAATACCCGTTGATGTTGAACTCTGGTTTTTCCTCCTCGTGACAATTTTGCTCACAATCACTTGAAAAGAAAGGTCGGTCGACGTTAAAAACTTTGTATTATTTCTTAGGAGTGAGAATGTCGAGTCGGGAACTTCACTTACTAGATAATGACACATTTGCAAATGTGACATTAAAGTATAAAGTTAAGGTTAATCATAATTAAAAAATTTGATTTAATTAAACTAGTATCCCAACTTAAAAAGAGGTGATGTTGCGGAAGAAAAAACCAGATAATTAATATTTTTCATGACTCGCATAAGTACTACTACGCTCAGTGAGACTGGCATCATTCATTTGTAAAATAAGAAAAAAAAAATTACTAGACAAGATTTCCAAAATATGAAATGAAAGACAAAACGGTTGCCTGTTCGCAATTTTCCCCTTCTTTTCGTGTGTATAATGCTGCCAAATGTTTTCCCTTTTACCTGGTCTTTAATGAGTGGAAATTTTGTCAATCTAGCTTAAGCTATAGTAAATCTAACATTATTAGGTTCAAGATTAAGGTATTGTTTGATAAAACTGAAAGTTAAAGGCTAAAAATTGAAAGTTGAAGTCTGAAAGCTGAAAGTTGAATAGTGAATTTGCAGACTGTTTAATACCCACTAAAATTTAAGTATTGAATTAAACCAAACTGTTTGATAATTATACAGAGCTAACGTCTATAAATAAATTAATTTTTAGTTTTACCCTTTCACTCTTTAATTTGAAAATATTTATAAAATATGCACAATAAGTGAATATAACATCCACTCAAAAAATAATAATAACTAATAAATAATCGAATAACAATAATAAATTGAATAACACAATAAGTGAATAATAATATCTTATCAAAAAAAAATGATAAATAAATAATCGAATCATAATAAGTGAATAATAACAAAAATAACACAATAAGTAAACAATAATATCTGGCCAAAAAAAGAACACAATAAGTGAACAATAACATTTGATAAAAAAACATAATAACTAATAAATAATCGAATAACAATAAGTGAACAATAATAAATTGAATAACACAATAATTGAACAATAACATCTGATAAAAAAAATTTAATTAATAAATAATCAAATTAAAAAAATAAAATAAATTAAATTTCATTAACAATATGTGTTTGTGTGTATATGTGCAATTTGTGTGTCTGCGTGTGTGTGAATGTGTGTTTGCAACAAACAAGAGAAGGAGAAAAAGAAAAAGAAGATAAGGGAAGCTGACGGCCGAGGAAGATGATCGGCAAGGAGGATAGATAGGTTAGGATTTTGGAGAGAAGACAAATTAGAGTTTAAATAGGATTATAAATTATTTTGGGGTATAATTGTTATATTATAAATATTATTAAAAATAGTTTTGACGAGAGTTTTTAGCTTTCAGAATTAAGTAAGAAATTTTTTACTTAATATTATAGCCTATTTTTAAGGAACACTTAACATATTAAGAGAGTTTAAATTTTAGTTATCAAACATGCTTAATTTTTTTGAACATACACCTAACACAATCTCTTTTAAAAGAGGAAGTGTCAGGTGAGATATTTAAATGAACACACACACTCAAAGCTATCCGATGTAAGATATTTAAATGTTGAATTTGAGTTAACAAACATACCTTAAAAGAACTTAAAGTAAATAATTCTCACAGATTTAGACCCACTTTTATATTTTTTATAAGTTCTCTTGGTCTGGAGATCTACTTTAAAATAACTCTTTAGTGTATCTTTGTTTAATTTTACTCAATCATAAATCACTATTTATAAATAGACCTCTCACCTATGCATAATGAATAATCTATCATTATTAAAAAATAATATAATAAAAGAGGATTGAAACCAATTCTGGGAGGGGGGCCCTTATACGGTTTAGAAGTCTTAGATCCATTAAAGACATCAGTTACATATTGGAAACAAATTAAGAAAGACACAGGGAGAATTATATTTAGACTCCTTGACGTTTATTATTTAATCAGTCAATTTCTCTGACATTTAAAATATTACATATAAACTCTCTAATATTTGTACGCATGTAACGCTTAGACCCTTACTGTTAATGTCCGTTAGTATATCCATTAATAAATTACACACAGACGTCTTGAAGTTTGTAGGCGTATAATATTTAAATCTATCAAGTTTAAAATATTATATTTAAACAAAAAATACTCTAATAAAAAATAGAATATCAAATACTTTAAATTTTACCACAAAAATTCATATTGTAAGAAAAAATTATGATTTTTATTTTTGATTTTATTATGATTTTTTAAGAAAAATTAGAATTTTATTTTTGATTTTATTTCAATAAATGTTATAATTGAACATCAATTTTAGTTGTAAAATTTATGTTCTATTATGAATAACTTAGACCCTTTGTTTGGTTTTTTTTGTTTTATTCCAACATATAGTATAATTATATACTAATTACGATTTTTTAAGAAAAAAATTAGATTTTTATTTTTAATTTTATTTCAATAAATGATACAATATAACATGAATTAATTTTGGTTGTAAAATTTAAAATATCTGATATTCTATTTTTAATTAGAATATTTTTTGTCTAAATATAATATTTTAAACTTAAAAAATCTAACTATCATACACTTATAAACTTCAAGGTGTTTACATATAATTTATTAAATAATATATTATTATTTATAACAGGGGTCTAAATGTTATACACGTATAAATCTCAAGAAGTCTGTTTGTAATTCTTNAATGATACAATATAACATGAATTAATTTTGGTTGTAAAATTTAAAATATCTGATATTTTATTTTTGATTAGAGTATTTTTTGTCTAAATATAATATTTTAAAATTAAAAAATCTAACTATCATACACTTATAAACTTCAAGGTGTTTACATATAATTTATTAAACAATATATTATTAGTTATAACAGGGATCTAAATGTTATACATGTATAAATTTCAAGAAGTCTGTTTGTAATTCTCCCAAAGACTTATAGTCACTTAAAACATGAGAATTAGACTTGTTTAATATCAACACTCAAGACCACTCCCATTGGTGAATTTGACGGTTATGAGTTTAAATTGCGAAAATAATTATAGACAAGATAAAAGTGCGTATATTTGACTTCTTCGAGCTCCATAATAGCATAAGTCTACAGTTCGGGTCNTTGTAATTCTCCCAAAGACTTATAGTCACTTAAAACATGAGAATTAGACTTGTTTAATATCAACACTCAAGACCACTCCCATTGGTGAATTTGACGGTTATGAGTTTAAATTGCTAAAATAATTATAGACAAGATAAAAGTGCGTATATTTGACTTCTTCGAGCTCCATAATAGCATAAGTCTACAGTTCGGGTCTTTTTTGTAAATTATAATTTCAAAAAAGATAATCCATGTGATCCGAAAATTAAGTTTAATTAAAATAAATTTTAGTTCTAAAAAATTCCAACACTCCCTCGATCCAGTTGGCAAAGAAAAAAGGAGCTTTTTTTGCCACGTTGCAAACCCTACAACGCCCCTGTTTGCCACGTTTATTGCCACGCGGCACTGCATGCAACGGTCTTGCGTGCTTTAAGTACCCCTCATCGAAACAGAGAGAGATAATCTGATCAACCGGTATCTGTTGAGCTTTGAAGAAGAAGAAGAGAACATGGCAGGCGAGAAAACCCAACAACCAGAGATTCCAGGTGAGCCAACTCACTTGGGCACATCCCTCGTCGAGACGGCCACTGCTACCATTCAAGGCTTCGGTCCTATCAACAATATCCACCAACATCTCTGCGCGTAAGCTTCTTTCTTCCTTTGATTTTTCCCTCTTGTTTGATTGTTGAGAAAATTTTGGAGTAAATCCATAATCCCAGTTCCACTTAATCAGGGAATTCTTCAGTTGGTATTCACGATTCTGGATTGCAAATAGATAGTTTCAGTAAATTGAAGTATTGAATTGTGATTTATTGGAATCCTTCAGTTATGTTTGGCAGCTGTTTGATATAATTACGTACTGGGGTTCTATTATGATAATTTAAACGGCAATTTTAGTGTTTACCCAATGGCGCAACATCTTTCATTTAGTCATGCCCTTGTCAAGTTCACCATACCCAACTTAACTATATTCATAGTCAGTGTTGTGTTTTAAGTCGTGTAAAAGATGGGTTCAGTTGGTGCAGGTTGTATTTAGAGAAGTTTGTGTCAACTTATTTGTTTGAGGAGTATAATGGGTCCATTTTTTTGCCATTCGAACCTGTTAAGGCTCATTTCCTGCCAGTTTTGCATCTTGTGTGGAAAATGGACAGGCCTACATGTAGCTAACTGCTTTTTTTTTTTTTTTTTGGAAGGGGGAGGGGAGGGGGTTGAACTCTCAAAATTTTCACAAAAATAAAAAATATCATTGGACCAAAAACACATTGTTTAGCTAACCGTAAAAAAATAGATTGGGTTTTAGTTGAGTTTGGTTTGTAACGTTTCTTGTCTCTTACGGAGTCTTATCTATTCTGTCGTTGGTTCTGGTTTATGTTTCAGATTTCATTTCTACGCTTATGACATGACCCGACAAGTCGAAGCTCACCACTTCTGTGGGCATCAAAACGAAGAAATGAGGCAGTGTCTGATATACAATAGCCCAGAAGCCGATGCTCGGCTTATTGGGATTGAGTACATTATATCTGAGAACTTGTTCTTGACCCTGCCAGATGAAGAGAAGCCCCTGTGGCACTCCCATGAGTATGAAGTTAAGAGTGGTGTCTTGTTCATGCCTGGCGTTCCGGGGCCGATACAGCGGAAGGAGCTTGAGAAGATAGCGCAGACGTATGGTAAGACGTTCCATTTCTGGCAGGTTGACAAAGGTGATAGCCTCCCTCTTGGGCTTCCCAAGGTGATGTTTGCCCTCACAAGGGATGGCCAGCTTGATGAGAACCTTGCCCGGGGTAAGTTACTTTTAGGACTGTGTAATTGTAACTTCTTGCTTTTGTTAGTATATATGATTTAAAATTAAATTTTATTATCATTTATTCATATTAATANGGAGAGTAACTGCATTAGGATAGAATTTTGGGAAGACTTGTGTCTCAGTTTGGAAAGAGAATCATGAAAGATGAGAGTGTGAGAGACAGTTCATGTCTCAGTATAGAAAGTGATCCCTTGATAGAGGAAACAAAATCAGGAAAATAATGATAAGAGTTGTATTCCATATTTTAGGGAGAGAGAGACAGAGTTGAGGAGTGAGAAATCGCTTAATTGCTGGATTTGATTGGGTTGGGAAATTAAATTCAGGGATGTTAGTTTTAGAAACTAAAAGTTTTGAGCGGCAAAATTTTTTAAGAGCTAATGTAGTAGGTCAGATTGAACTGATTTGAGACGTTAATAACTTGAGACAATTTGGAATAGCGTCGGCCATTGGATGATGCATTTTTTAATCTCGAAACGATCTGAACCGCTTTTTGTCTCTTCAATTCAAAATTGTTCTACTTTTTTATATTGATAGTACAAATTTTTTTAATATTAACCACAGTAGAGAATATATTCACATTAAGGACATGATAGTCTTTTTGGTATTTCTATTAGAACAAGGAGACAGACATTACTGACAAGGGTGCTCAATGTTATTATTGATTGAGATACGTGAAGGGTTTAGTTGTTATTTGGACAAACATTAAGGGAGGTGGATAAAAATCTACCCACAAAACTACTAGAAAAGATTTACAAAATAGGGTAAATTGCACAAATAGTAGTTTGTCACTCATCACACTTTGGTTCTTGAAGTTTGAATTTCATTAATTTCGTCCCAAAAGTTCAAACATCGAGTCAATGTGGTCCTTGACACTAATGAGTGTTCAAGGACCACATTGTTTTATATAATTAATGATATTTTTTTTTNATTAATTTCATCCCAAAAGTTCAAACATTGAGTCAATGTGGTCCTTGACACTAATGAGAGTTCAAGGACCACATTGTTTTATATAATTAAGGATATTTTTTTTGAACCCATATAATTAAGGATATAACAAACGAAAGTTTAAGGCTGCTAATCCAAGCACATTAAAAAGTATTTATTGATTTTGCCTCAAAACAGAGAAAGAATTTTAAGTGTGGATCAAAAAATAATTGTCTTTTTTCATTCTTTTTCTTTGGAAAGCGTTAACTTTCACACCATTACTAAATTTCCTCATCACCACATTATAAGAACGATGAAAATATAGGAGCATATGCATTATTAAACAATTAATTCTCCTTCGAACTCAATCATGGCACCCAAATTCTCTGTTCTCCTGCCATGCATAACTCTTTTCTTCATTCTCTTTCTTTACCAAACCCATGCACATTTATCAGAACCAAATGACAAAACACCCTCAGCCTTTGAGTTTATCAAACACTTGAAGGGTTCTCGCAATGGTGACAAGGTAGATGGGCTCCATAAACTCAGAAATTATCTCGAAAATTTTGGTTATCTAAGCTTATCCTATTCTAAATTGAATCAAACCTATGTCAAAAGTGATGTTTTTGATGATCTCTTAGAGTTTGCCATCAAAACCTACCAGCTCTATTATAATCTCAAAGTTACGGGAGTGTTAGATGATAACACCGTGTCAATGATGACTCTGCCTCGATGTGGCTTACCAGATATCATCAATGGTACTACTGGAATGAGATCGGGCAACAAAATACAACACCATCATGGCTCAAACTTGTTCCAAATAGTCTCTCATTATAGTTTCTTCGCAGGTAGACCTAGATGGCCACGATATAAGATTAAAAAACTCACTTATGCCTTTCTCCCGGGGACTCGTCGGGCCTCCTTTGGCCCGGTTAGTCGGGCTTTTAACAAATGGGCTTCTGTATCAAAATTCAGGTTTGTCCAAATTGGAGGCTACAAAAATGCTGATTTAAGGATTGCTTTTTATAGTGGATACCATGGAGATGCTGACCCGTTTGATGGTCCGGGTGGAATCTTGGCCCATGCTTTTGCACCAACTGATGGGAGGCTTCACTTTGATGCTGATGAGAGGTGGTCCGATGGACCGGTTCTCGGATCATACAACTTAGAGGCTGTGGCTCTACATGAAATTGGTCACCTTTTGGGACTTGGGCATAGCTCAGTTATGGAAGCTATCATGTTTCCATCCATTCAACCGGGTGTGAGCAAAAGCTTGGCTTCAGATGATATTAGAGGGCTCAAGGCTTTATATTCATGAGGATTGAGAATCTGGACAGGAAGCCTTCATCTGTCAGATATGAATCATTTAAGTAGTAATGTGCTCAATGTTGCCTATCATCATGTGTACATTTAGTGAAAAATACTACTGGATAAGAATGCCGGTATATAAAATGGTAAATTATGAATTATGGTTTGATTTATTAATGCTTTATATATTTTTACTTTAAAACCTACACATAACACTAAATTGGTTGGGAATATAGTATTAAAGGTAATAGAATCATGAACTATCAATAATTAATACCCGTTGATGTTGAACTCTGGTTTTTCCTCCTCGTGACAATTTTGCTCACAATCACTTGAAAAGAAAGGTCGGTCGACGTTAAAAACTTTGTATTATTTCTTAGGAGTGAGAATGTCGAGTCGGGAACTTCACTTACTAGATAATGACACATTTGCAAATGNGTTAAAGACAGAAGGAGTTTGTGGTCGGTCGACGTTAAAAACTTTGTATTATTTCTTAGGAGTGAGAATGTCGAGTCGGGAACTTCACTTACTAGATAATGACACATTTGCAAATGTGACATTAAAGTATAAAGTTAAGGTTAATCATAATTAAAAAATTTGATTTAATTAAACAAGTATCCCAACTTAAAAAGAGGTGACTAATACTTAATAGTGTTATGTTGCGGAAGAAAAAACAAGATAATTAATATTTTTCATGACTCGCATAAGTACTACTACGCTCAGTGAGACTGGCATCATTCATTTGTAAAATAAGAAAAAAAAAATTACTAGACAAGATTTCCAAAATATGAAATGNCTAGTATCCCAACTTAAAAAGAGGTGATGTTGCGGAAGAAAAAACCAGATAATTAATATTTTTCATGACTCGCATAAGTACTACTACGCTCAGTGAGACTGGCATCATTCATTTGTAAAATAAGAAAAAAAAAATTACTAGACAAGATTTCCAAAATATGAAATGAAAGACAAAACGGTTGCCTGTTCGCAATTTTCCCCTTCTTTTCGTGTGTATAATGCTGCCAAATGTTTTCCCTTTTACCTGGTCTTTAATGAGTGGAAATTTTGTCAATCTAGCTTGAGCTATAGTAAATCTAACATTATTAGGTTCAAGATTAAGGTATTGTTTGATAAAACTGAAAGTTGAAGGCTAAAAATTAAAAGTTGAAGTCTGAAAGCTGAAAGCTGAATAGTGAATTTGCAGACTGTTTAATACCCACTAAAATTTAAGTATTGAATTAAACCAAACTGTTTGATAATTATACAGAGTTAACGTCTAAAAATAAATTAATTTTTAGTTTTACCCGTTTACTCTTTAATTTGAAAATATTTATAAAATATGCACAATAAGTGAATATAACATCCGATCAAAAAATAATAATAACTAATAAATAATCGAATAACAATAATAAATTGAATAACANTAAGCTATAGTAAATCTAACATTATTAGGTTCAAGATTAAGGTATTGTTTGATAAAACTGAAAGTTAAAGGCTAAAAATTGAAAGTTGAAGTCTGAAAGCTGAAAGTTGAATAGTGAATTTGCAGACTGTTTAATACCCACTAAAATTTAAGTATTGAATTAAACCAAACTGTTTGATAATTATACAGAGCTAACGTCTATAAATAAATTAATTTTTAGTTTTACCCTTTCACTCTTTAATTTGAAAATATTTATAAAATATGCACAATAAGTGAATATAACATCCACTCAAAAAATAATAATAACTAATAAATAATCGAATAACAATAATAAATTGAATAACACAATAAGTGAATAATAATATCTTATCAAAAAAAAATGATAAATAAATAATCGAATCATAATAAGTGAATAATAACAAATTAAATAACACAATAAGTAAACAATAATATCTGGCCAAAAAAAGAACACAATAAGTGAACAATAACATTTGATAAAAAAACATAATAACTAATAAATAATCGAATAACAATAAGTGAACAATAATAAATTAAATAACACAATAATTGAACAATAACATCTGATAAAAAAAAATTTAATTAATAAATAATCAAATTAAAAAAATAAATTAAATTAAATTTCATTAACAATATGTGTGTGTGTATATGTGCAATTTGTGTGTCTGCGTGTGTGTGAATGTGTGTTTGCAACAAACAAGAGAAGGAGAAAAAGAAAAAGAAGATAAGGGAAGCTGACGGCCGAAGAAGATGATCGGCAAGGAGGATAGATAGGTTAGGATTTTGGAGAGAAGACAAATTAGAGTTTAAATAGGATTATAAATTATTTTGGGGTATAATTGTTATATTATAAATATTATTAAAAATAGTTTTGCTGAGAGTTTTTAGCTTTCAGAATTAAGTAAGAAATTTTTTACTTAATATTATAGTCTATTTTTAAGGAGCACTTAACATATTAAGAGAGTTTAAATTTTAGTTATCAAACATGCTTAATTTTTTTGAACACACACCTAACACAATCTCTTAAAAGAGGAAGTGTCAGGTGAGATATTTAAATGAACACACACACCCAAAACTATCCGATGTGAAATATTTAAATGCTGAATTTGAGTTAACAAATATACCTTAAAAGAACTTAAAGTAAATAATTCTCACAGATGTAGACCCACTTTTATATTTTTTATAAGTTCTCTTGGTCTGGAGATCTACTTTAAAATAACTCTTTAGTGTATCTTTGTTTAATTTCACTCAATCATAAATCACTATTTATAAATAGACCTCTCACCTATGCATAATGAATAATCTATCATTATTAAAAAATAATATAATAAAAGAGGATTGAAACCAATTCTGGGAGGGGGGGCCCTTATACGGTTTAGAAGTCTTAGATCCATTAAAGACATCAGTTACATATTGGAAACAAATTAAGAAAGACCCGGGGAGAATTATATTTAGACTCCTTGACGTTTATTATTTAATCAGTCAATTTCTTTGACATTTAAAATATTACATATAAACTCCCTAATATTTGTACGCATGTAACGCTTAGACCCTTACTGTTAATGTCCGTTAGTATATCCATTAATAAATTACACACAGACGTCTTGAAGTTTGTAGGCGTATAATATTTAAATCTATCAAGTTTAAAATATTATATTTAAACAAAAAATACTCTAATAAAAAATAGAATATCAAATACTTTAAATTTTACCACAAAAATTCATATTGTAAGAAAAAATTATGATTTTTATTTTTGATTTTATTATGATTTTTTAAGAAAAATTAGAATTTTATTTTTGATTTTATTTCAATAAATGTTATAATTGAACATCAATTTTAGTTGTAAAATTTATGTTCTATTATGAATAACTTAGACCCTTTGTTTGATTTTTTTTGTTTTATTCCAACAGATAGTATAATTATATACTAATTACGATTTTTTAAGAAAAAAATTAGATTTTTATTTTTAATTTTATTTCAATAAATGATACAATATAACATGAATTAATTTTGGTTGTAAAATTTAAAATATCTGATATTCTATTTTTAATTAGAATATTTTTTGTCTAAATATAATATTTTAAAATTAAAAAATCTAACTATCATACACTTATAAACTTCAAGGTGTTTACATATAATTTATTAAACAATATATTATTAGTTATAACAGGGATCTAAATGTTATACATGTATAAATTTCAAGAAGTCTGTTTGTAATTCTCCCAAAGACTTATAGTCACTTAAAACATGAGAATTAGACTTGTTTAATATCAACACTCAAGACCACTCCCATTGGTGAATTTGACGGTTATGAGTTTAAATTGCTAAAATAATTATAGACAAGATAAAAGTGCGTATATTTGACTTCTTCGAGCTCCATAATAGCATAAGTCTACAGTTCGGGTTTTTTTTTTGTAAATTATAATTTCAAAAAAGATAATCCATGTGATCCGAAAATTAAGTTTAATTAAAATAAATTTTAGTTCTAAAAAATTCCAACACTCCCTCGATCCAGTTGGCAAAGAAAAAAGGAGCTTTTTTTGCCACGTTGCAAACCCTACAACGCCCCTGTTTGCCACGTTTATTGCCACGCGGCACTGCATGCAACGGTCTTGCGTGCTTTAAGTACCCCTCATCGAAACAGAGAGAGATAATCTGATCAACCGGTATCTGTTGAGCTTTGAAGAAGAAGAAGAGAACATGGCAGGCGAGAAAACCCAACAACCAGAGATTCCAGGTGAGCCAACTCACTTGGGCACATCCCTCGTCGAGACGGCCACTGCTACCATTCAAGGCTTCGGTCCTATCAACAATATCCACCAACATCTCTGCGCGTAAGCTTCTTTCTTCCTTTGATTTTTCCCTCTTGTTTGATTGTTGAGAAAATTTTGGAGTAAATCCATAATCCCAGTTCCACTTAATCAGGGAATTCTTCAGTTGGTATTCACGATTCTGGATTGCAAATAGATAGTTTCAGTAAATTGAAGTATTGAATTGTGATTTATTGGAATCCTTCAGTTATGTTTGGCAGCTGTTTGATATAATTACGTACTGGGGTTCTATTATGATAATTTAAACGGCAATTTTAGTGTTTACCCAATGGCGCAACATCTTTCATTTAGTCATGCCCTTGTCAAGTTCACCATACCCAACTTAACTATATTCATAGTCAGTGTTGTGTTTTAAGTCGTGTAAAAGATGGGTTCAGTTGGTGCAGGTTGTATTTAGAGAAGTTTGTGTCAACTTATTTGTTTGAGGAGTATAATGGGTCCATTTTTTTGCCATTCGAACCTGTTAAGGCTCATTTCCTGCCAGTTTTGCATCTTGTGTGGAAAATGGACAGGCCTACATGTAGCTAACTGCTTTTTTTTTTTTTTGGAAGGGGGAGGGGAGGGGGTTGAACTCTCAAAATTTTCACAAAAATAAAAAATATCATTAGACCAAAAACCCATTAACCGTAAAAAAATAGATTGGGTTTTAGTTGAGTTTGGTTTGTAACGTTTCTTGTCTCTTACGGAGTCTTACCTATTCTGTCGTTGGTTCTGGTTTATGTTTCAGATTTCATTTCTACGCTTATGACATGACCCGACAAGTCGAAGCTCACCACTTCTGTGGGCATCAAAACGAAGAAATGAGGCAGTGTCTGATATACAATAGCCCAGAAGCCGATGCTCGGCTTATTGGGATTGAGTACATTATATCTGAGAACTTGTTCTTGACCCTGCCAGATGAAGAGAAGCCCCTGTGGCACTCCCATGAGTATGAAGTTAAGAGTGGTGTCTTGTTCATGCCTGGCGTTCCGGGGCCGATACAGCGGAAGGAGCTTGANTGGACCAAAAACACATTGTTTAGCTAACCGTAAAAAAATAGATTGGGTTTTAGTTGAGTTTGGTTTGTAACGTTTCTTGTCTCTTACGGAGTCTTATCTATTCTGTCGTTGGTTCTGGTTTATGTTTCAGATTTCATTTCTACGCTTATGACATGACCCGACAAGTCGAAGCTCACCACTTCTGTGGGCATCAAAACGAAGAAATGAGGCAGTGTCTGATATACAATAGCCCAGAAGCCGATGCTCGGCTTATTGGGATTGAGTACATTATATCTGAGAACTTGTTCTTGACCCTGCCAGATGAAGAGAAGCCCCTGTGGCACTCCCATGAGTATGAAGTTAAGAGTGGTGTCTTGTTCATGCCTGGCGTTCCGGGGCCGATACAGCGGAAGGAGCTTGAGAAGATAGCGCAGACGTATGGTAAGACGTTCCATTTCTGGCAGGTTGACAAAGGTGATAGCCTCCCTCTTGGGCTTCCCAAGGTGATGTTTGCCCTCACAAGGGATGGCCAGCTTGATGAGAACCTTGCCCGGGGTAAGTTACTTTTAGGACTGTGTAATTGTAACTTCTTGCTTTTGTTAGTATATATGATTTAAAATTAAATTTTATTATCATTTATTCATATTAATAATTTCAACCCCACATTTATTTTATGATTATGATTTTAATTTTTGATTGTTGAAATTCTTTAGGGGGAGTTATATGTAATAACTATATATATATATATATATATATATATATATATATATATATCTCGGAGTTGCTAGCCGTTGAAGCCAAGCATTTTATATATATATATTCGTATAGCCTTAAAGGATAATGACTATCTATTAATATATAAATAGACATAGTGATCTATTTTCCTTTGACGTAGAAAAATAATTTTCATATACATATTCTCCTTCATTTTTTATTAGTTTTGGTGTGTTTTTATGGGCAACTTGGGTGTGATCAGTTCGTTATAGAGAGATTCACGCTTACACCGTAACTTATTTTGGATTGTTGTATTTTAGAAAAAGAACATCAGAAAACTCTGTGCAGAGGAGACATATCTCTTCTTAGGACAGCGTTCATCTCGCGCTTCAATCTAGGCTATTCTAAACTTATTTTTAATCTAAGTTTCATTGAATTTATTTGATATATTTGCATGTTTATTTAATTTATGAATATGTGATTTTATGTTTAATTTTCTAACAGCTTTAACATTATTAGCACATAGATAACGTTATTATTCTGATTCCACTTTGTGTAATACTTGGTGTTAGATTTCAATTGATTCAAGGTCTGATACATATTTTATGATGCAGACGTTGAGAAGCGTTCTGGCATCTCTTTTGCCAAGGAGAGGGAAAACCGAGCGTACATGTCGGGGCCTGTGAATGGGATACACCCACTTGCAAATGGTTCCGGCAAAGGGCTGAAGACTGTGCTGAGAGAGACGGATTGCTGCGTACCACCAAACCCTCGAATCTTCGTCTGAGTTCGTAATGAAACTAAGTAAGATGCTGTATCTAGAGGTGAAAAGTAAAATGTGATGATGTATCTTTTGGTGCTTTTGGTATATACAGCTCTTGTTTAATAATAGATTTGTGTTTTTTTTGAACAGTTGTTTAATGATAGTTTATTATGTACGGTAATAATTTTTGAGAAGAGTTTTAAGAAAAGCGTATTTTGATTTTTTTGAGATAAAAAATTTGATTGATTAGATAATTTCAAAAATAATTTTACAGTATAAAAAATAGTAAAACTATTTTGGCAGTTTAAATATATGTTTGAACAGTAATTTTAAAATTAACAAAAAATATAAAAAGGTTATTTTTAGATTGACAATTTCATAAATAAAAAAAAAATTCAAGAAACCAAAATTTTAAACCGAACATATTCAATAATATTCATGAAAAATAAAATCAATATAAAAAAATATATCAACGACTTTCATCTAAAACATATTTAACAAAAAAATATATAAATATTAATAAATTTTTTTTCAAAAAAATAAAAAATAAATAACACCGAAGAACACTCATACTATCACACAATATATATATACACACACACACACAATTACACAATACACAGTACACCCATCACACACACAATTTATATCTGTATATATAAAAACGTGCACACACAATCACACAATAACACAGATTTGAACCCGGATTTGAAGGAGATCAACCCCAATCTGAAGAGAGNTAAACCCGGATTTAAAGGAGATCAACCCCAATCTGAAGTAGATCCGACAGTTGAGCAACCTTAAATCGTGTTTCCTTTTGTCTGGTTTTCACCAGAGTGTGGAGAGAGAAAGAAAAGAGAAAGAGAGAACCAAAAAAAAAATAGAGAAGGGCAGTAATATTTTTTTAGTTGGATATGTTTTGCTGCTAAGATAGTTTGAAGGGGAGACCTCTCAATGAAAAATTGTCTGTTCGTCATGTTCTCGTGCGTCCTTTATTTTATTTGCAAAACACATAAAACAAGTTAAGCTTGTTTTTCATTTTTTGTTTTTTACATCCATCTTTTTTCAAAAATTGGAAAACAAAAACTCAAACCAAAATTGGCCCTAACTGCATTTTTTTTGAAAAAGACTAAAAGAATATTTATTACTCCATTACTCTCTCTCATTCTCTCTCCATTACTCTTTCACTTTCTCTTTCTCTCATATTGATAATTTTTTTTTTAAATATGTAACGATTTGATTTAATTTTTTCATCTCTCCCCCCTATTTTTGTTCTCTCTCTCACTCCCTCTCCCATTATTTTCTTATTCTCTCCATTTTTCTCTCCTTATATCAATGTTACACAACACAATTATACTAATTAGTTACATCAATTAGTTATAATTATCTTATAATATGCTAAATAATTACTCATGTATTCTAATAAACTAAATAGTTACACTAAACAATTATACGAAATTTAAACATTAACGTAATTTGTCATTTTGTTCTTTACATAAATTAAAGAGTTATACTATTTAGTATCACGACATGATTATACTAATTATATACACCAAATTGAGTTTATCATTACACAAAAGACTTTTACCATTATACTAAATTTGATATATACGATTAGTGTAACGATGTCGCGATATTAAATAGTATAACTATTTAGTTTATGTAAACAATTGAATGACAAATTGGGTTAGTGTTATAAATTTATATAATTATTTGGTGTAACTATTTGGTTTATTAGAATTTATGAGTAACTATTTTGTGTATTATAAAATAATTGTAACTGATTNATAATTATTTGGTGTAACTATTTGGTTTATTAGAATTTATGAGTAACTATTTTGTGTATTATAAAATAATTGTAACTGATTGGTGTAATTGATTAGTGTAATTGTGTTGTTGTAATGTTTATATAAATAGAGAGAGAAAATTGGGAGAGAGAAATAGTTACAGAAAATAGGGGGAGAGAGAAAAAAGAGTGAGAGAGATGAAAAAATGATCAAATTTTTACATATTTGAAAATAAAATAAATTATTAATGATAGATATGGAGAGAAAATAGGAGAGAGATTGGAAAAGTAATGGGAAAAGAGAGAGATGGAGAGAAAATATGGGAGAGATAGTGAGAGCGTTTAATGAAATCTTTACATATTTGATTAGATATATAATTGTCAGTCAAGAATGCATAATTTAAGTGAGAGTATTTAAGTAAAATAGTTTTGATTTCATTTGAACTTTGTATCTATACACAATATGTTTTATTAAAATTGAACTTAATAGAGTAAATAGTTTATCCATACACTTTTTTTCAAATAAATCTTCAAAATTGTACTCACAATCAAAAAATCATATTTTTTTAACTTAGCAATTGGAATATGAAACCATGATTTATGGGTTGGGTCTATCCACATGGGCTGGACCTAACCCAACAATTTTTCCCTTCAGCTCATATGGGACTCAATCAAGCCTCCTTTGCTTTAGATAAATTTTAGGGAAATTTGGAGGCCAGTTTTCTTTTGTGTATTTATTTAGAGATAAGTTGATCAAAAAAACTTGTTTAATACTAAGTCTATTTTGATCTTCATTATCCAAATTATCCCTAGTAGTTGTGTTTAATTACAAAATTTTGAAAACTAACAACTCCTAAATTTTAAGAATTTGACTAATATTAAAATTCTATCTCTCATATATATATATCTATATATAGAATATGACTATTTATTTCTCTCATATATATATGTTGTATCATTAACACAAAAAAAATAGTAACATTTAAACACAAACNTATCTATATATAGAATATGACTATTTATTTCTCTCATATATATATGTTGTATCATTAAACACAAAAAAATAATAATATTCAAAACAAAAAAAATAATAACATTGAGTATTAATATTTGAAAAAATAACAGTGGTAACATGCTCAACAAAAACAGTAATATGAATAATAATATGATATATATATATATATATATATATATAGAGAGAGAGAGAGAGAGAGAGAGAGAGTATCAGTTGTTCTTTGAATTTGAATTTCAAATTTATGTAAAAAAATTTTATTGGCATATCTTCATTGATAGTGAGTTAAGGGATAATAATTCTCAAGTTGAAAAACTAATTTAAAGTTGTTATTAATGAAGGGGATTTTAGAGTTTTAAAAAAATGGTGGACTTAACTATTCATTAGTAAGATTAAAAATGTATTTATCCCTAAATAAATTTTCTTGACGGACTAAGCTCATTATAAGTCCCTCAAGGAGGATTCAGTCCCAATTTTCACTATATTTTAAATCTCTCATTGGATAATAGTTTAGTCATGATATCTGAACAATTCTCATCAGTGTGGATCTTTTCAAGTTATAACAACTTCATCTCTAATACATCATGGATCCGACCTTGAGTAGAAGGTTGAATTTTTGCTAAGATGGATAGTAGTCTGATTGGTACAGTAAAAAACATATTTTTTTTGTTGTAAGCCCAATTCTTATAAAAAAAAGTTTCTTTCACAATAATTCTTTACTCAATTTAGTGAGAGCGATATACTCGGCCTCTCTTATAGATAAGGTAAAATACATCTATACCTTAGATTGTTATGACACTACTCTCCTTAATACTATTAATCAAGTAATCCGAAGTAGACTTCCAATAGTCAATATCCCCGACCATATATGCATATGCAAAACCATCAAGCACATATTGGTGAAACTAAAAGCATGTAAGGTATATGCATTTAAATGTTATTGGAGTTGGACATAATTTGTTATTTAAAATTTTGGGGATAGGAATTAATTTAGATGTTATCGAGGAAGGAACAGGTAAAGAGTTAAATTTACTTGTCAAACCTCCTACTTGTTACGATTGAAATCTACTCTACTAAAAAAAAACATCTTACAATTATATTATAATAATTTAGTTATGCAATATATTCAAAAGTCATTGTCGTAGTTAGGTGTCAAGACAAGAAGTATGCTAGCTAGGTGTCCTAAAATGATGAGTTCTTGTCTTGATTAGGTTTCGAGGGGGAAAGGGTGCTTGGTGTCCAACTAGCTAGGTGTCAGGTGTGCAAGGGTGCTTGGTGTCCTAAGAGACTAACTAGGTGGCAAGTGTGCAAGGCTGTTTGGTGTCCTAGGAGACTAGCTAGGTGGCAAGCGTGGGAGTTGTCTATGTATAACTTCATTTGCATGATGAAGGACAAGCTAAGGGAGGGAAATATTTATAGCTAGGTAAGGGAATTAACAAAAAGATAAAAACAAGCAAGAAGCAGGCAATAGAATAGAGGAAGGCGGGTTCACGGTCGACTAGTAGATATGATTTTTTTTTTTTTTTAAATATAGTTTTGGTAGTAAAGTGTTATAGCAATTCATATTAGCTAAACATGTTTTATTGACTTAATCTAGTACTAGTTTGTTTGGGTAAGGTATAGAGGTATAGCTACTCATTAATTTTTTTTAATTAGATTGAAGCTCTAGGTAGTGGAATTAACTGACTAAATGTTTAACCTCAGGGGGTTAGCCTTAGCCTAGTGGTTCAAGGGTCACTTGGTAAGTACTTTCACTTGGTACCGGTCAAGAGTTCGAAACTTAGTAGGTCATTGGTCCTAGATTTACCCCCTATGCGTGGAGAGCCAGCTTTGCGTGTGAGTCTAACATTAGTCCGACCCGAATGATTGGGATAGCTGAAATTCCCAAAAAAAAAAAAAAAATTGTTTAAGAGGTTGACTATTAATAAATTGGAACTTGATTGTAATTTGTTTCGGCCCATATCCATCTACTCAACTCAATGAAAAAAAGACCCATTATTGAAAAANTAAGAGGTTGACTATTAATAAATTGGAACTTGATTGTAATTTGTTTCGGCCCATATCCATCTACTCAACTCAATGAAAAAAAGACCCATTATTGAAAAACAATGGCCCTCCAGTTTTGTTGGGATCAACCTCCACATCATCATCCACTTGAATTTGGTTAACCCTTCCCATCTACAAAAACTAACCAATGAACCCAATATACCCAATCATATCCAAAAC